CTCTCTCTCTCTCTCTCTCTTTCTCTCTCTCTCTCTCTTTATTTTTAAATATCTACTTAACAAGTAGCGTGGTAGCTCCGTACTGCTAAGTACATAACTTTGACTGCTCGAACGCGACTGTGTATACGACACACATTGAAATGTTAGTTTACTCGGATTTTTTTACGTTAAATAGGCTCTTGACCAAGATATCTCAGGAATAAAATTTGTGATAAAAGATCGTACTTTTCTAATATAATGACAATGCGAATTTTTGTGATTGCTCTATCAGTTTTGATTAAAAAATGATTCTATGATGAGTTCTATAGCCGTCAATTATTGGAGGGGACATCATTTTCTTAATTTATTCTTAATATTATTTCTTAATTTTAACGATTTCATTATTTTCATTAATATTCCAATGAAATAATTGTTTTTTAATAGATCATTAAATGGGCGTCACTTAAACATGTTATTTCTGGCTCAAACGTTTTGCCGTTGTACGTGATTGGCTTCTTGCGTAACCAATATTATAAATAAAATATATTTAAATATGTCTTAAGTGTCTTGTATATATGTATAAGTATACTTATAAGTATACATGTATACTTACATGTCCGCATGTATGTTAATGGTTACTTAAATTTTTGTAAACAAATGAACTTTTCAACGACGTCACGAATAAATGTTGAAAGATCGTAAACACTTAATAAAGAATCGATGTGAATGCACGTCTTGCGAATAGAAAGGACTTTCTACGCTGTATCATCCTCCTATTAACAAGTATGTTTCTTTTTTTGTATATTTTCAGATCACAGTACGGACATTGTGAAAGCAAATATCGACGACAACATGAAAGCAAATATCGACGACAACGTGAAAACAAATACTGACGACAACGCGAAAACAAATATCGACGACAACATAAAAGCAAATATCGACAACAACGTGAAACCAGATTACGGCAAAGTTATTGTGAAATCAGATCCCGACGGCAACGCAAAATCAGATCAGGGCAAGGACTGTGCAAAACCTTCTTCAAGCGCGAGATACAACTGCGAATCTTGTGGCAAGCCCTATAGGACCCGGGCATCGTTGAACTACCATCGAAGCGTGGAGTGCAAGAAAGATCCTAAGTTCGGCTGCCCCTTCTGCGCTTACAAGTCGCGAAGGAGAAGTAACCTGCGTAGGCACATGCTACTGCATTACAACACGAGACCTCGTAAAGATAAGTCGTAAAGAAAGCTCGTTCGTTTACTCAAGCGAGCCGCTCGACATCAATGAAGCATACACTTTTATATTTCAGTGTTTGATCTCGGAATAAAGAAAAGGCTTCGTTTTCGTAACTCGTTGTTTTACTTTTAATTTCAGGAATTTCTATATTCTTCAGTTCACCTTGTGTCTATGTTTTTGCCTAAATTAACCCCGTTATGCTATTTCAGGTATGCGAGTGAGAATCTTTGGAAGGTAAGTAGCTAAAATACGTGACTCTTTATAAACAGTTTTGAATTTGTAATACGATTGGTTGATGTTTTTTTCTTTTTTCTTCTCAATTGAGGTGAGATTCTTTTCTGAGATACTGTTTTCGGTGTTTTCGAAGGATCTATGTAATCAAATGTTTTGCAGAAGATAAAAAATATTTCTTCAGGTAAACGAAAATTAAATTTAGCGTGCGAAAAATAGTTCGTTGAAACTATTATTTCAAATTCGACCGTACCTATCGGAATGTATTTGTTTACTACATTCTTTCTTTCCAGCCTTCTTTACAGTGCTTTCGATGCTATGTGTCGTCCGTAAAGATAATTGAGTAGTCGTTTATCCTTTTTTCTGCTTTTTCAGATGCCTCGCTTGACAACAATTACATAGATCGAATGGACATCGAAACAGGACTTATATTGAAGTATCACGAATGTCACAAATTTGGCTTCAGTCATTCAACGTATTACGATTATTGCCGGCAGTGTCGGAATTCGAAGAAATATCGATGTGTCCGCTGCATTTATTGCACCGATACTAAGTAGATTAAACGTGTTATTAAACGTCGATTGAAAACACATAAGTTCCTTTGAAGGCTTATCATTCATTAAGACGAAATTTATTTTAATTTGTTAATAAAATATAAATTGCGTGCGATGCGTTTTGTATTATATTTATGTATTTATTAATTTTATGTATGCGTATCTAATCCTGTGAAGAATAAGTTTCTCACGATGTAACTGACGAACGTCACTATTTTGCATGTTAACAATGTTATCCAATCTCGTCGTGAAATTACATAAATTTAATGATCGGTGACGTTATCACAGTAGCAAAGTTAAAACAAAATGACCTAAATTCTTGTTTCTCCATATATTGTCGTCCGACACCTTCAGATTCCGATCGTCAGTACATTTACACGCATGCATTTACACCACACTATTATTCATTTAAATTATTAACTTAGAATGACACTGATATATTTTACTCAGTGAATTTGAAGTCTGTCTTGCTGCTTGTACATACATACGAGACGATATTGAAAAGTGTTTTGAAAAAGGTGCTAAGATCAATGTAGATTTTATGTTTAACTTAACATTTATTTGTTCAACGAAGCTTACACTTCAATTAATATTTAAGTTTTATCAGTTACGTAGTCTTTTCTTTCAAGGAGAACCCCAAACTCACGAACATTTTTGTTTTCGGATCGTTGAAATAGAGATAGGATTTATATTTAGAGATATGATTTATATTTAGTCTAAGATTTACGAATCGTATTCAATATTTGATTAAACTAAAATCAATAAAGTCGATTAAATTTTATAAATTACATCAAGCTACATCCAGTTATGGGTTTTTTCCCTTAACACGTTTGTTGCCGCGTGGGCGACCGGTGATCTACGCTGAATTTTTCTTTTAAATCGTATGATCTGTTCTCTACGATTTTTCGTTGTTTCTCTAAACAATGGTTGTCTTCAGCGAAACGAAGTGTCGCGAAACGAAGTAGTCGGTAAGGACCTCAGTGGAATGACTGTCTTATTAGTTCGAGACAACGTTGCATGTCTTAAGTTTTGTCTTAAATAACGTACAATGACTGTTTTGCGTTTGTCCGGCGTTTTAAACTAAAAAGCCGTTCTGTTTGTGATTCATGACGAATCTCTATATAAAAAAAAAAGTAAAAAAAAAGTGAAAATGTAGACGAAGATTTACAACATAAAACATTGTCTTAAAATTACAAATCAGTCATTCTGCTAAGGTCTATTGGTAAGTGATGGATTCGATTGACGTATGAATTCACAGATTTCGCCCAGATGTGGAAGCGTACAGCACTCGGATTCTGGAACCGCCGATCGCTTGTTAAGCTCTTTCTCATTCGTTCGCAGAAGACGACCGTCAGTCGCGAATTATCGACGACTCATCCAGAATGAACGGGTCGCGTAAAATCGGGGATCCCGTCGACACTCCCACGGCGAGTCGTTCATTTACAGCGGCTCGTCGGAGCGTCTCGTGTGGGATGGTGGAACTGGCCTAAAGCTCCTTCTTTTTTTATTTCCAGATGCCATCAAGCGCAAGAGGCGGGCGAATAGAGCGTCGATAGAGGAACTCGTGGATTTGCCGGTGCAGGTGCAAGTACAGGTTTCGGAGAAGAAGAAATTGCTGCCGCCGTTCGCCGAGCTGAAGATACCGAAGGCGAGCGATTATGTTGGTGCGAGGCTGCACGGTCAGTTCGTGTGCGAACAATGTGGCCGGTCGTACATGAGAAAGGATTCGTTGCAGCGCCACACGCAGTGGGAGTGCGGCAAGGAGCCGCAATTTAAGTGCCCGCAATGTCCGCAACGTTGCAAGCGCAAAGCACACTGGTTGCGCCACATACGTCGCCAACACCCCGATTTGGATCCTTATATGTTCGATGTCTCCCGGCGACATATCCCGAAAATAGAGGTCGACTGAGGTCGACTAAGAGATCGTTGCCGGGATGAAGGGCGACCTTCTCCGACGCTGAATCGCGTAATGTAGAATATGAAGATTTGCGACGAACTGTCGTGTCCAATGGGAACAAAGAATTCAACTGGTATTTAGAACACGTATTCGTTTATTCTGTTTCATTGTGCTTCGATTGATAAATGTCATCATTTCAGATGTTCTTGAAATGACTGAAATTTATAGGAGAGGAGATTGAACAATAAGCGACTTACGGGCCTATTCTGTAACTATTGACGACAGTGTCGTTATTGTTACGTCGTTGTTCCGCAGTTTTTCTACCATATATTACACTTGCGTAACGACAATGTAACGATAACGATATTGTCGTTAAAAGTTACAAAATAGATCTCTTGGCGCGGCGTTATTAGTGCACGAATTTTGTCGTTTTAAGTCATTGACATATATTTAACGTCAGACGGTTTCGGTCATGATCCTTCTCAGTAGTTTATATACTACTTGTAATTTTACTATGTTAGTCATCGAATGTGGCCGATCTCCTGTTGATCATCGTATATTTAAAACGATCATGAAAGCAGAACTTCGTCTATCGGCCTCAAGAAACCGTTAGACTCTTAAATGCTATCGAATTTTAGAAATTGATAGTATTTCATCGTGGAGGATCGCACATACATTTTCAATTTGATAACTCTCGGATCGTTTTATTGTTTGACAACTTTTATAAAATACTGCATGATGGTAATTTGGCAAATAGACCGCTGAATAGGATTATAATTATGACTAAAATATTTGGTGTTAAATATGTGTAAGGTAAATGACTACGAGGAACATGTCTTTTTCTGATTTTTGTGAAACTTAATATATTGATAATTTTGTATCTATCAAAATCGATTTCATGCACGCGATACATGACCGAAATCGTGGTGCAACCGGAAGAGGGGTGATTTCTCACGAAAAGCTAAGTCGAAAATGGAGATTTTCGACTTATTTCTAGCAGCTTTTTTCTATACTACAATTTCGGACGCATCTCGTCTATTACGTTAATACGCTCGTTAATTTTTTATATCGAACCTTCATCCCAAGTAACGAGATCGCGTTAAGCAAATCCTGCTTAATGGAACTCTTTGGAAATTTCATTGATATATCGTTGAGTTGAATGTTTTCATCGTCGCTCTGTACGTGCGAAACATCATTATATCTACTTTAATTATCAGATATATATCAAATCTTCAAAAAATGTGGCGTATATGTACATCACTGCCGCGTACTATTCGTAAAATATTTTGATGGCTTATAAAAACTGAAGACGTGTCCTCTTAATCATACTTCACAAAATACACACATTATAGAGAATACATGCATATATATATATATATATATA